GGGGGGGGGGGGGGGGAGAGGGTAATAGAGATGGAGGAGCAGGCACATAGAAGGGATCACACGTTGGCAGCCCGACGCAGCAATAGACACAAACAGACGAAAACAACCAGTGGGGCGCCAATGAAAATCAGAGAAGGAAAGCAACTCTTCATCACCAAGACACAAATTGATAACAAACGAACCGCCCGTGTTACAAACGACAGGGCCGACAACTCTCCAAAACCTCTGCTGTCCGGTGCACAATACACATACGGGGCATTATGAATACACAGTATAGCAGCGACTGGCGATCGGACAGCAAAGAGAATTCACAATGCGCTAGCACAACACAGGGGGGAAACACAAGAAACGGATGTCAACCTGAGAAAAATGTATTCCAGATTGCATCCGGAACTGGATCGTGCACTCTGCGATCAACGTCGTGTCCACAACCGCTCCGGGGAGTCAGTCTCAGTGCGAACACGACCTCAACAACGCCATGCAGACGACCAAAGCGTCCATCTCGGGAAGCCGAAGAAGAGAACATTTTTAGTCAGCAAGCGACACAGGAACGGTGGCGAATTTAGAGAGACTACTCATTTGCAGTTGGTTCCCTATGTCCACAGCGTCTATTTGTCCAGCGGGCACCTGCGCACATATCTACTGCCCTTCCCTCTTTCCCTTTCTTATCTCTTCTATCGTTTTTTGCCTAGGCCTCCCTTTCGTCGCCCTTCCGGCCTCTGCGTATGCAGGTACGCATGTCTCAATACGCCCTGCGGTCACGGCAAAGCGCACTCTGCCACAAACCCGACTCCACTCTCGTTTATCCACTCCCCCGTCTATCTGCGCCTAACTTCTGGCATCAAAACGTCGCCCCCTTCGGTGCGCCCTCGGCCCCTGCAGCGAACATATGTTTTTCATCTCTTTGGCCCCTTTCTCTCTTTGCCTTCTGTATACGCAGGTAGGGCCCCGGTCTGTCAACTCTCCCCCACTGATATGCCCATCTGCCCGACAGACTTTTTTCCCTTCGGCCACTGCTAAACAATAAACGGGAGAGATTGAAGGTTCCAACACAAATGATTAAACAACAAAGACATTTGTGAAATCTCCTAATGTTTCCAGGAGGCAGAAAAAGAAAGAGACAGAAAACGAAAGGAAAAGAAGAGAAGAGAAACGGAAGCGCAACAGAGCATCTGAAACTTGCAACAACTTTTTCAACTCTGCACCCCATTTAGCCAAGTCACGCCAGAAAGCACGAACAAAGCGGCACCGTGAGAGGGCACAACAACACTCACGTGGGCAACCTTACAGCACGGCGGAGTCCTCCTGCCGAAGCCGTACAATGCCGACAAAGCTGAGCCGAACGCCAGTCGATGAGGCGTACCACACGTCGCATCTTTCGAGAAAAACGATATGTATCACATTCGAACGAACGTCGAATCCTGTAACAAATATTCTCCGATGGCATCTCTGATGTGACATATCTGGGCTTCGATGTCTTCCCAGTGCCGATAATCGGGGTTCCTTTCATGGGGCACCACTTGTATCCTGTTATCTAGGACTGTCCACGTGATCAGCCTCTCACCATCTTCGGACAGATATGTCGTGGTGTAGGTTGCAATCACGGCAGCGTCTGACAGTGTTCTGTCCTTGTTTGTGCACGCCACGCACAGCACTCTGCTGAATGGATCGCCATCCAACGTGAGGCGGACACAGCAGTACGACACCGCACAAGACGATGTTTGCAGACTGGGCATGGGGTATTCTGACAGGAAATCACCAAGACTGCCGCAGACGAGTAATTCGTATTGGAAAAGTTTCGGCCAGGTCCTTGGCGACGCCAAGACGCCGTGAAATCCAGCGTGCGCATGGCGGGGCCTATTTCCTGTGGGCAATATACTTGCCAGGGTCTCAACTTAAAACGGGGCAATACGATAACACGTCCCCATTCCAGCATGGTCGCAAAGCGATAATCGTTCGCCCACGGACAGTCCGATAAAGTAGCAGCCCAATCGTCCTCAGACCAGGTGTGCAAAGGGTCAGCGCGCCAAGGCACAACAGTCAGCCACAGATCCGTTTCAAAATCTGTTTGCGTGGCGCCCACAATCTTTGTTGACTCTTTCGACCCTTGGAGGGCAACTCCTTGTGGTTTCAATGGAAACGCGGCAGCGGACTGTTTATCCATTTCCGAGACGCGGCCAACGTTCGCCAGGTAATATTGTATTGTACGTTGGCATACACAAAGCAACAATGGTCAAAACAAGTCAAAGATTGCAATGCCACTGGAATTTTTCCAAGTATATTACGCTACACCCCATTGTCAACATAGAGCCCCTCATACATTCTTCTCTCCGTGTGTTATGCATTCCCCCCTCACCCTTCTTCTCCTGTCATTTTTCACCCAGCTTCCCAACTTCTATTCGGTTCAGCCAGGTCCTTGGCGACGCCAAGACGCGAGTGAATTCCAATGTGCGCATAGCAGTGCCTATTTACTGCGGGCAGTATACTCTCCGGGGTCTCAACTTGAACTTACAACGTGGCAATACGATAACATGTCCCCATTCCAGCATGGTTGCAAAGCGATAATCGTTCGCCCACGGACAGTCCGACAGAGCGGCAGCCCAATTGTCCTTAGACCAAGTGTCCAAAGGGCGAGATCGTCAAGGCACAACAGTCAACACCGGGCCGGGGAGGGTCCACCGGGTACATGCCGGAGTGTTCCAGGGTAGGGTAGGGATATAAGCTGCACCGGCCAGCGTGAGGCTCATCCGCCCTCAGGTAAGCTACGGGAAGGGCGACAGAATGCATCCGTGGACGTTGGTTTGCCTTGTTTAGGTATTCTTGCTGGGTCGGCTCCCAGAGTCGGCATGAGGCCACTGCCAAAAGCCTCTGTATGGTAATGTTCACGCGCTTTCGCTTCCACTACAGTTGTGGATTGGCTCAAGACTGTTCATTATCATTGCTGCCCGGCCCGCATGGAGCCATCTTCTCTTTCTTATGTTGCCAGGGTTTTGAATCGCGCGCACGACAATGCGAAAGGAACCCTGCCCGCTTCGACTTCGACAGGCATTCCTCGAACAACAACGAGGCCCACAGGCGCACGATTTGCTGCGTTGCACCGGCTAGTGTGAAGCCCATCCGGCCTTGGGTCAGTTGCGGGGAGGGCGGCAGAATGCGTCTGTGGACGCCGGTTTGCCTCGGCCAGGCACTCTTGCTGGGCGGGCGCCACACTCCCACAATCGGGTCCATGGAGGGTTGCATGAGGCTGCCTCCAGAATTCTCTGTATGACAATGTCCGTGCGCTTTCACTTCTACTAGAGTTGTGGATTGACGCTCTCTCTCTCTTTCTCTTTCTCTCTCTCTCTCTCTCTCTCTCTCTCTCTCTCTCTCTCTCTCTCTCTCTCTCTCTCTCTCTCT